CCTTCCAGGCATTGCCAAATGTCCTCTGAGTGGGAGGGAGACAAAATCATACCTCACAGAGAACCACTGAGCTAAACTCATCCCCCATTTTACTAGTCAGGGTTCTATTTGTTTAATATTATTTTTATTTTTTCCAGTTTTATTAAGAAAAAATTGACATATCACTGCACAAGTTTAAGGTGTACAGCATAAGTTTGATTTACATATATTGTGAAACGATTACAATAGGTTAAGCTAACATCCATCTTCTCATATTAGTCAGGGTTTGTGATTTCAAAAACACTACTAAGAGGGATACCTTATTTAATAACTTATTAAACATCAGGAATTGCTTGAATAATCCTCAACAGCTCCATGAGATAGGGTATAAGGGTAAAGATAAGATATATGTAACAAAGAGATCCTAAAATGCAGTGGCTTAGGAAACAAAGACATTTCTCTCATATTCAGGGGTCTTGATATGAGTAGTCCAGGTTGAGAGAACTTCACATAGTCATTAAAAGACCCAGGCCTCCTCCATCTTGTTCCACCATCACTATTTATATGGTTTGCATTATCATCATCTACGTGGTCAAGCTGATGACCACCACATCGAGGTCCTACCCACCAAGGACGGTAAAAGGTAATGCAGGAGGTATACACAATGCCTTTTAAGGTTCATAGTTGAAAGTGGTGCACATCACTGCCATGCATTCCACTGGCAAGAAGTTAGCTACACTTAATCATAAGTCAAGTAGTAAACGTGGCCTAGCTGCACAGTCACGTGCTCCATTACAACACTACTACACACTGAATGTTTGTGATGTATTTAGGTCATCAGAGTAGAGTCCTCATGAACAGGGTCAATGTGAAGAAGAGACACAGGTGAGATGATCTCTCTCTCTCTGCCATGTGAGGACTCAGAAAGAAGGTGATCATCTGTAAATCAGGAGATGGGCACTCACCAAGAATCTGACCATGCTGGCACCCTGATCTTAGACTTTCGACCTTTGTTGTTTAAGCCACCTAGTCTTTGCTATTCTTTTATAGCAGCATAAACTAATACAAACACCATTGCTATGAAAGAAAGGGAAAGGAATTTTGGTAGAAATCTAACCGTCTCCACATATTACCTTGTTACGAATGAGGAAGGCAAGGTTCAGAGCCAAAATAACTTGCCCAAGGTTAGATGGCTGGCAAGTGGTACGAGAAGGCAAGCGGTCTAATTGCAGAGCCTATGCTCTTAAAAACTACTTTTCAAATGTTTGAACCATAACCTAAAAGAAGAAAAGCATTTTACTTAGCAATCTAACACATATGTTTGTATGTGCATATGTTTCATGAAGCAATCCCTATGCTTACTACAGCCAATGAACTCTGATATTTCTATTCTATACTATTTCATTTTTTTGAATGTTGGTCATACCCACTAAATTGATTTCATAGCCCTCTAATGTATTGTGATTGACAGTATGGAAAGAATGCACTACAATCAATTCTAGTGGGAGAATTGGAAGGCTATTGGAGAGCTCACAGGATGAACTATATGAATAAGAAGGCTAGAGAATAAGGTTAACAAAACAGGTAGGGCCAGGGGTTCCAGGAAATCCAGAATCACAGGTTAAATTGTCATGGGAAGGGTGTGTTAAGGTGCACCTGACACCTCTGTTGATGTTACTTCCACCCCTGCCACTGGGTGCTGGATGCCGTGGCCATTATCACTGGAATGCATTCCTAACCAGACTGGCTTCTGTGGCTCTCTCACTACAAAGTCCGAGGAGGAGGCGTCCAGTGGGCACACTTAGGCCACATGCTTGTGCCCAGGCTTTTAGCATCAGGAAGAGCAAACACTAGTTTTTTGGCTTACAAAACTGCAGAAACAAGGTTAGATTTGGGGCTGCCCAAAAATGAACAAACAAAAAGGCAAATGTCCAAAAAACTCATAAACCACTGGAAGACGCATACATTGGTACAGCCACTGGGAGACTAACTTGGCATTATTTTGTAGAACTATAATATGCATCCTATGACACAGGAATTCCTTTTCTAGGCCTGGCGTGATTTGAAATTTCCACAGCATGCGCATAAAGAGACTTAAGTGTGTTCCCAGAAGCATTGTCTGTAACAATGAAAGATGGAAACAACCTAAAGATGTATCATTTAAAAAATGGACAGGATTGGGTCCATTGTTCCTTAGACCCCAGCACCAAGCACTACGGACAGATTATCAGAACCAAATTCTTGTTGAAATAAATTGTAAATGAATGAACTGCCGACCAGAAATTATCCAGTGAGTGACGTGCAGGGCTGCAACGAAATATTCAGCGGACCTTCAGAAGAATGCATCACATAGTGCAAAGAATGTGGGCTTTAGATTAAGAAAAAGCTTTGATTAAAAGAAAAAGAAAAAGAAAAAGCTTGGTTTGACCCCAAGATCTGCTTGTGTGACCAAAGGCAAGTTACTAAATCCATGAGCCTCAGTTTCCTTGTCTATAAATGTGACAATTAATGAGATAAGGGGTCCCAAGTATGCAGTGCAGGGCTTCCCAACTGTTAGAGCACAGTGTTGTGCTGTGAGTGATGAGTATGCCAATGAGGGGATTCCTCAGCCCTTGGGTTGTTCAGAGCCCCTGGGCCAGTCACCCCTGGCCTTCAGCATCTTCATTTATCTTTTACTCCAGTATGCCATATGAATGAATGAATTTTATAATTTTCCACACGTGCCATGACATGAAAAATGTTGGGAAGCACTAGCACAGTGAAGTCCCTGGCACACAGAATTCAAGAAATGTTAGTTCTCTCTATGTATTGATGGAATGTGAGGCTCTCTTGGGGTTTCTTATCTACCAGGATTGTAGGGGATCTAAAATGATGTGGGCCTTGCCAGATCTCCTGGGAGCTGCTCTCCTAAAAATCACAAAGAATATAACAACACCCTCAATATGTTCTTCACATAGAATACCACCCATTATAGACCACCCGAATATGCAGAACAAAAGTCAAGGGGTCTGGAGTGAGTCAGATGAGTCAGAAAAGAAATGCCCTTCGATTTTACTTCTTGAACTTCACCTTGACTCAGACCATCTCTTTTCCTATTTCATCTCATCTTTTTTCTCTTTATGTGTCTTGTATGTCATCACACATAAAGGCGTTGAGAAGGAACACCTCCCTAGTGTGGGTGTTTCCTTCTAGGTAAAGAGTATCTCAACCACGTTACACCCCTGGCCTCTTTCTGCCTCTGTTCACTCCGCTGTAAGAAAAGTGGAGCTCACTGATAAATTTGGAAAGAGAAAGGAAGCACATGTGGCCCAACTCCTTCCTCTATCCTTCCTCTTAGGAGCTGACATCCTACAGAAATCATGTGTTCTTAACTCAGCACACAGAACACTCACTGGAAATGACCCTGCTGCCCAGACACCTGCTGTGGCCCAGGGCAGCCAGTGATTAGATGGGAAATTTTAGAATAGGGCCTGCATGCCCTATACCAGCCATATTCTCCAATATTAGCTTTCCCAATAGGCCATACAGGCAGCCGGGCCAAAGGTGGACCACATGGGTTTCAGGAAATTCACGTGGACTTTGAACTAACATGAATCTAACATTGCTATCAGTAAGTTTTAATTTCTTAAAAATCAGATTTACATAAGACAGTAGTAAAAGACAAGTAGGTTTCAGTTAATAGATCTGGGTTCTAGTCCCCTCTCCCCCTTTCCCTGTATATTCTTGAAAAAAAATTTTTTTTTTTTTTAAGTGAGGCAACCCTTAGTTGACCTCACAGATTGCAAGGACTTTGTCAGCTTACGATCTCTTATTTTTTATTTTTTATGCCTACAGCACCTGGTCTTCCTAAGTGGTCTCCCATCCAAGTACTAACCAGGCCCAACCCTGCTTAGCTTAAATTTCTTAATTTCAATGGAACTCAGTTTGTTTCTCTTTTAAAAAATATATCAGTTGTAAACGTATTTTAAAGGATAAAATAAATATTTGTTTTTAAAAACAATATTTCTGTGTATACCTGCCATGTATTTTTCACCTCTACAGAGACAGCTAATTTCAATTCTTTCACCTATTTTGTTATTTACTTCCATACTCTAAACAACACTTTGATATTGCTACTTCTTGGTTTTTCCTTTTTAAGCATAATCTATTGATTTCCCAGTATAGATGAGAGCATTTTGTTTCTATTTTTGCCTCCACTGTCACCACTCATACATACTATTTCCACATGTACTTTCTATTTTGGACCTTTGAACATCTGGAAATTTTCAATCAATAATCAACAAATGTATACTGAGTGCCTACATGAGTTAAGCACTGGGCTAGGCCCTGGAGTGCTAACATAAGTAAGAAACCAGGCTTAAAATATATACTCTTAAAAACTATGCTACAATGCATTTAATAATAAGGTTAAGATACCTAAAGATCCTAAAATGCCTAATGAATCAGCTAACAAACACAAAATGTGCTTAAATGTAACTTTCATATCCAAATGAGTTTTATTGAATTCGAATTCTAGGAAAATTGGTTCATGTAGATCTAATACTTTCCAGTTACTCCCCCATTCTCTAGCCACTCTGTACAATAAGAGATGGAAAGAGATTTGGCTTTGGGTGGTAAACACACAATGTGATATACAGATGATGTATACTGAATTGTACACTTGAAACATATATAATTTTATTAACCAACGTCACCCCAATTTTAATTTTAAAAAGTTTTCTTTAAAAAAAGTCTTCGTATTTTCATGTCACTTTCACACGTATATGTATTCCACAAGCTCCAGCGGCATCCCAGAGAGACAATATGAATTATGCAGGAGGAAAAAGGCAATTCTTTTGGAGAACAAAACCTAAATAACCTATTTGCTACTTTAAAGTATCACATGTGAATAAATAATATTTCACTGAAAATTGGGAACTGGAGAGTTACAAAAAAAAAAACAACATTATTTCTTAACCAAACAAAAGGTTTCACAGTTTATCATTTTTGAAAAAAATTCTTTCCTCCTTTTTGGTGCCTCCTTAGATATCATAGAAAGAAAAAAAAAAGTCTCTGAAAAGGAGTTGCCTCTTCTCTTAGGACAATTTTACAAAAATTAAAACGAATAGCACAAATGACTCAATTCCAGACTGATTTTCATCTACTTACCATGCTGTTGCTTGGGATACAATGGAACAAGTATGTGGCAGGGACCCAGCAGATCTGTCAGAGGAGCTGGCTCATCCACCAGTGGGCATTCATATGTCTGCACCAAACTTCACACAGTGAAAGGTCACAGCCCTTCATCTCCTTCAGACATGGAAAGCCAGAGTACAGATCTGATTACGAGATGACTGTCACTTAGGTGGAAGAGGTCTTCTCAAACCAACTTGCCTTCCCCTTAGGGAAAATTGAATTTCCTCAGCTGTATTTTCCTGACATTTCAGGTTATTCAGACGCTTCATTTCATACTCCCTTTCATATTTGATGGCTAAAAAATAAAATACATGAAGCAATACAATTGATATTTTCACCAGGCGTAATTTAGTTTAAAAAGTACATTTATCACACAGCAAAATTCGCATTCTTGAATACTAAACAAGAAGGCAGGGCTACATATACAAGGGGAATGGTGTGAATGAACATATTTAAATATTTATCTGATAATAAGCAAAATAACACACAAAACTTGCCATTTATTATAGTTGTTCTTATGGAACTTACATTCTGCAGAAGGGAGGAGACTTTCCTTATTGGTTATACATTTTTTGAGGTATACAGGACTACCAAATGTAATTTCTTCCAAGAAAGGCAACTTGATTTTGGCTAGGTTCATGTACCAGGTCTTTGTAAGTAGTGCAAGATCCCAAGGTTCCTGTCTGGGGCGAAAAGTCATCAATTCATTCAACAAATATTTATTAAGCATTTACTATAGGATACACAAAAGACATCTTATTAAACCTCAGTTCCATTTTCCACTATACATTTTGGTTTACAGGGGGATATTCAAGATTTGCCAGAGTTGAAAATCTAGCCAGGAGAAGGAACCGTATATTAACTAATGTAAAGATATATTGCAAAACTACCAAAAATTATGACGAGAACTTTTGTTCACAATACAGCCTCCTTGGAATTAATCCAATCTTCTCATGTCTTTTAAAAGGATGTAGTTACGAACTGTAAGGTCCAAGTCTTTTATGGCTGATCAAAAACATAGTCACATTACGGAAGGAACAATCATGCATTGAGCAGGGTACTTGGCACACACTAAGGCTTTGAGTGTGTGATCCTATTTTAATCCTTACAACCACGATGTAGATAAACAAGGAAACCGAGACTTAGAAGTTAATTAAGTTTCAGAGCTGGTACTTAGCCTAGGTGCATTTATTTAGAAGCACTAGTATCAAGAGAATCCTTAGAAAACTGGAGAAAGAGATGAAATCCCAAACTACAATATTTAAAATAATCACTAGGAACTGTAAATGAATTGTTTTGGGTATCCTAATTAGGAATTTAAATATCATGTTTCCCATCTACAGTCCATGTGAGTTCACATGCATAAAGAAAGGGGAAAGACCTGTTTTGGTATGAGTAAGGGAAGTGAAGGTATCCACACACATATCATCCTTTCATCCTTTTGTTTCCTACCTCCAGCTTCCTTGCTACTTTATTAACTTTAAGGAGTGACTTGAAGTCTACAATTATTATCGATGTACTCGAACAAGTGCTCTAAGATGTATTTTTAAGAATGCTCACTGAAGCA